TGGCACAAGTATACATATGTAACAAACCTGCACGTTATGCACATGTACCCTAGAACTTAAAGTATAATAATAATAAAAAATAAACTAAAAAAAAAGAGATGCTCTCTTAGGATAATTTTTAACATTATATTTCAAAATAATTTCTGAGCTACAAAATTTTGTACAAAGAATACTAACATTTTCATATATCCTTTATGCTGAAACCCCATTTCCTGAGTATTTGAAACTTCAAGGGAGACACATGAAGACATTCAAACGTCTGTTGAGCAACCCACAGCTGCACTGGCTTCTCTTTGTCTCAAGGTTTGGTTGCTTGGCTTCTCCTTGTAACTCCTTCCCTGTTTTCCTCTTAATTCAACAAATGTGATGCTTATTAAAATATTCTCTTCTTATGTCACAGTATGGGCACCAACAGCCCTAGTATCATCATCATATTTTATGTAAGCCACATTGCTCAGGAGCTGTTTCTAGGCAATCACTGGCCGTGGCAGAGAAACTGAGGAAGGTCCATTTCTAGAAGGCATAGAACTTTGCTGACAGGTGTTTTGATTAGAGGATACCCAATGGCCTTGACTAAATCTGTTCAGAACTGTGCTACATTCTAGGATGCTTCTTTCTACCCAAACTTCCTTCCTTCTCTCTTTAACTCAAGGTCAAGCCTACATCAAAGACTGACAGCTCCTGCTCCTCTGTTCTTGCCTTCTTTTTGTAGTAAATATTATCTAGCCTCTTGTTGGCTGCTTGTCTATTTTCACCCAGGGAGTTTATGCTCTATTATCCATGTGCACACCAACTTGCTTGTCTACCCTTCAGATCTTGTTGGTTCCTATGATAATTGTAGCTCTGGCTTTTGGTGGTTAACCACTGCTACCTGGCTTCTATTATGTCAAGGCCTCCTCATATGCATGGGTAGCCTGGCTTGGTGACCGCAGGTACTGCTGGCCTCCATGATCAGCAGAAAAGAGTTACCATTCAGCTTCTTAGAGATGCTGGTATCATTTTCACAGCTCATTTCCAGTGGCTTCTGAACGATGTGTCCTCTGTGCCCTTTTATGGAAAATGTATGGTGAGTCTTCCACCTTTACACACTCTTAATCTATTCCAGCATGCACACTTTCATCAGACTCTGTATTCTTTCCTTTTCCATCTACTAGGGCAGCAAAGTCATTTCCAATATGCTGAATGTTGTCCAACACTTTTTCTAGCTAATTGTCACTCAGTAGTAAATTAGCCACTTTCCTTGGTGTTCTTCTTAAGGTGTTAAAATTCGTATTCCAACAGAGAACTAACCGGGCGAGGTGGCGGGCGCCTATAGTCCCAGCTACTCAGGAGACTGAGGCAGGAGAATGGCGTAAACCCGGCAGGCGGAGCTTGCAGTGAGCTGAGATCCGGTCAGTGCACTCCAGCCTGGGCGACAGAGCGAGGCTCGGTCTCAAAAAAAAAAAAAAAAAAAAAATTCGTATTCCAAATAAATGCTCCTATATTGATGTGTTCTTGCCAATATAGTCTTCTATTCAGACCTGCTTGATCAACTATTCTCACTATTCAATCCTGAGGGCATTTCATGGATTCTTGCCATAAACTGCTTGCTAATTTTTGCAATTCTTCAAGTTATAGTCTCTTTCTTATCTTACTAGGCCCAGCACATTCCCAACAGATTTATGCTGGAATTTAATGCCAGTGTTCATTCTGGTGGTCAGAACAAGAGATGGAGGGAGCTCCAGGAGATAGACTTATGGGAAGTGGTGGAAATGATTGTTCTTACCAGAGAAGTGTGGGCTACCTCTGCAAGCCCAAGTATTATAAGGGTTTCTGCATAATCAGTGTCTTCACGGGTCACTCACCCAGGTGTTCCTACTCAATGTTTCATGGTACTACATTTTTCCCCAGGATACAGACGTAACATCACAGACCTGCTTGGGTTGAGTACAGTATTTGAGGAGTTCTTTGACTCTAACAATTAAATAGAAATAGTCTTAAATAAGTTCATTCTTTCTGGCTATAGATTTTCTGTTGCTACAATAAAAAGTGATTTAATTAACTCACCATGAGTAAAAGGGTATCCTTGCTTAGTGTAACAAATGGGCTGTTTGGAAATTTATTTAGGTTACATCGTTAATTTCCCTCCCTCTTTCCTTTTCTCCTTCCCTTCCTTCCTTCCTTCCTTCCTTCCTTCCTTCCTTCCTTCCTTCCTTCCTTCCTTCCTTCCTTCCTTCTTTCCTTCCTTCCTTTTTTCATCCTTTTTCTCTCTCCCTTTTTTCTTTCTTCCCACAGTTTCTCATTCTCTATTACCTTCATTTTTGCAGTAACTCTGCTTGAATAAGGTATTATAATTTACAAATTTTCTGCTGGTGGCTGTCCTATTGGTTTGGAATATTGCAAGGAGTGCTTATTGTGATAATGTTAGTATATATTACATTCTTTTACCACATCTATCTTTCTGATGTTCCAAGCAGCTAACAGGCATGTAGAATTACTCAAGAAAAAGACTCTCACATATAAAAGAAAGTGTAGTCAAATTTGTAAACTAAATCGATAAACAAATTCATTTACATAATGGCATTGTTCTATCAAAAGGTGTTTTTAAAGCTACTAACACAAATTTTATAATCTATGTTCACTTGGGGAAAGCTGAAGAAGAGAGAAAACAGAAGAAAAAAAGGTTTGTGTTTCATAATTTTCATGCCTATGTACAGATAGACCTTAAAACTCAGAAGATAATTCTTCCATGAATAGTAAAATTGTCATACAAGATTTCTGCCTTTTTTCCACAGAGTTTCTTACAAAATAGTCCTCTCCAGCATGCACTTTTGGATACTCTTTCAACTCAGAAGTCAACATAAACAAAGGGTAAAAATTTACTTTTGTATTATGAATTATCACCCCAATAAGTCCGTTATTTCATGATTTTTTGTTCATGTTGATGTTTGACACACAAGATTTTAACCTTTGTGAGTGCACAGTAATAATTTTTATTGATCTTTTATTTTTTGTTATTTCCCATGAGGTCAAACATAAAATATACCTGCAGTCACTGTGTGCTGATAAACTGAATATTTAAAAACAGAAAAAGTTCTCAATGCTATTAAATTAAATTGGACAATGTTTATTATACAAATATTTAAAAATTTTTACCAGTTCACATGGTATAAACATTATCATTATCAGTGATTTCAAGCTACTAATATGACATCCTTTAATGCATAGTTAGACAGATATGCAAAAATAGGCTCTTGTAAGCTGGTGTGCACTCTATCCAGCACACTGCTGCCCTCAGTATATGTGGGGTACCTGGAACATTTCTTCCATCTATCACTACTTTCAAGTGGCAATAAAATTGATGTGACTGCCTTTAGTTTTCCATCTCCATTTCCCTCTGATTTTGTTCTGCCATTATAAGCAACTGACAATTTTAAGCTTCTGTCTCTTAAATCCAAAGAGTTACCATAAGTTCTTTTTCAGAAACCAAACATTTTGCATCTGTCTCTGTAAAACTGTGTATAGGTGAGAACCATGAATTCTTTACCTTGGTTCTTTAGCTGGTTAAGGAGTCATACAGGTCTTTAATGACATTTTTGAAAACTCTGAAAATTATGGAAAATAATGTGAATATGTTTATCTATGAGGAAAGGTTCATAAATTTCATTAGTTTTCTAAGGGACCATAGTGCAGAAAAAGGTTCAGAACATCTGCCCCAAACTTCCTTGTAATTTATTTTACATTCTTTTCTAGTTCTCTCAAGTTCCCATTCCCTGTGATAAATTAGCAAGTGTGCCTCACCCCTAAAGCTTTCCTTTGGACTACCTAACACTGGATAATGACTTACATGCCATGGCATATCTGTTCCTACCTTTTGTATTATGAATTACCCATGAAGAAAACAGCTAAAGTATATTCTCAGAAGGTTACTACAACTTTTTAAGACAAAGGATGGAACCATGGATATCCAAGTCTTACTTTTGATCTTAAAACATTTCTGCTACATGACTTTGGCAGAGTATGTAATACAGTGATGAAGAGCATAGCATTTGAGATACAGAACACCTGGGTTCAAATCTCAACTGTGCCTCATGTTATTCACATGGCCTTTGGTAGCCTAAATGGCTGTAAATCTATTTCATCATCCGTAATATATCACTAATAGTAATATATGTTTCATTTGGCTGTTTTGGAAGAATAAATGGAATATGTCTTAAAAGCAGTTAGTAGAACATCTAGCCTGAAACAAAGAGTCAATACATGTTAGTCGCCAGGAGTATTATTTTATCATTTCATTATTGTTATTTTCCTAATTACACTACAAATGTCTTGGGTGATATACCATACTTATATTTTATGACCAAATATACAACATATTTACTATTTGTTGAGTGAATGAAAAATATTTTAAAAACCCACATGCAATAGGTAGTAAGAGAGCAAGTGTGCTTTTTTACAGTGCAAGTCATTTATGCCAGGTTTTTATCAAATAAAACTATGTTCATTTTGGAAGCAGCAGACTGAGCATGGCCTTGTGGATCTGTCTTGTTTCTACACTGTAGATGATGGGGTTGAGCACAGGGGGTAAAAGCAGGTATACATTGGCCATCACTGAATGGACCACTCTGGGGGCTGACCGACCATAGCGATACACCAAGGACAGGCCCAGCATGGAGAGGTAGAAGATAGCAACTGCTCCCACGTGGGAGACACAGGTGCTGAAGACCTTGTGCTGTTCTTCAGGGGAGGCAATTCTGAGGACAGAGTGAATAATTAAGATATATGACAGGGCAATGCATGGCGTGTCTATTCCAGTTGTCAGGATGAGATCTATTAATCCACAGATGCTGTTTGCCCGAATGTCTGAACACGCTAATTGAATCACATCTGGAAGGTAACAGTAGGAGTAGGAGAGGGCATTCATTCTACAGAAATAGAGAGGCTTAAGGAGCAAAAGTAGTGGTAGTATTAGTACTGTAGCACGTGTAATCATCGGAAGACCCATCTGAATGATTCTGGAGTTAGTGAGAATGGTAGTGTACCTCAGAGGATCACAGATGGCCACATAATGGTCAAAGGCCATAGCCACCAGCACCCCAGATTCCATAAAAGTGAATACATGAAGAAAAAACATTTGGACAATGCAGCTATATAGACTGATTTCACATGCATCAAACCAGAGGATACCTAATGTTGTTGACAATGTAGAAAGAGTCAAGCCCAGATCAGTGGCTGACAGCATGGAGAGGAAATAATACATGGGTTCATGGAGACTCTGCTGGATAGTGATGACAAACAGGATCATGCTGTTCCCAGAGAGGGCAATGGCATAAAAACAACAGAAAGGAATGGAGATCCAGGCGTGGGAAGACTCTAGGCCAGGAATGCCAGTCAACAAGAAGGTTGGAAATTTAAATGTTGAGTTGCTTAGGATTTCCATGGTGTCCTGGTTTTGCAGCATTTGTCCTCACAGTGCTTCCATCCTACAGAAGTGATACATTACAGTGTTATGTAAAATATTTAGATAAATTTTCTTTTGGTTAGGAGAGTTATCCAAGGTCATAGATAAGATCTGCATCATTGAGAAACTTCTAAATTAAGTTATAATATTCATCTACAACTCATAATCAGAAATAGTTCACAAAAATATGTTTTTGTACTGCAAAATTCAAGGGAAATATGTCCATATGATTTTATACATTTTCATGATTGTATCCATTTACAGAATATTAAACTGGATCATATTGTAAGATGATTTGAATAAAGACATAGCTGAGAAAAAAATAAGTATCTTCATTTACGAATATTTTGTGAGTACAATGAATAATAGCCACTGAAAAATATCCATGGTTCTTCAGTGACCATGAGGGTGTGAATCTGCAGACACATGATAATTGCCAGTAATATAGGTTTGGGAGTTATCAGTGTATATTTATCATTTTTCATCCAACACTATAGGTGAACAACTTCAGAGACTAGAATTATAAAGGAAAAACAATGAGGACACAACTCTCCAGAAGATTGGAAAGCGCTCTATACACTAAAGCAAGATGAGACTTGTTTTATGGGAACTATGAAAACCAAAAGAGGCCTGGCGCCATGGCTCATGCCTGTAATCCCAGAACTTTGGGAGGCCGAGGTGGGTGGATCACGAGGTCAAGAGATCAAGACCATCCTGGCCAACAGGGTGAAACCTTTTTCTCTGTGAAGTATTTGGGGGTAATTTACTGCTGTTCAAAAGTGTAAAGTGATGGATGCTGGCTTCAGGGTCCAGTAGACGTTTTCAGGAGACAGCGAATGAGAAGGGCAATTGGCTCAGTAAACACTGAAATGCTGTATTGCCTCTTTCAAGTAAAATTCTAAAACTAATTTTGTCGATTAATATATTTATATTGTTCAAGTCAATTCTGGGGAGAATTAAATTAAATAATAGCAGTATTCATGAGTATAATGTTAGTACTTTTCAATCAAGCCTTTAAAAAACTAGTTGTTTCCAAATTCATGAGAGTAAATATTCTGTAGCAAGGATACAAGTTACTGTTCCCTTTATGCTAGTTTTTTATGGTTTCTTTTAAATCTCCAGTTGTCTGATTTTCAATTCAATTGAGAAACATTATGAAAATATTTAAGTATGAATTATTAGAGGTTGTATATCTACATGTTATATGGATCGATGAAGACAGGGCAAACCCTCATGATATCTGACTTTTCTATAAACCCATATGACTGTTTGTGAATAGGTAACAAAGTAAAAAGTCAACACAATAAATACATCTCTCTACCTTCTTACCAGCTTTATGTGGAAGGAGGAACCCTCTCTGTTTCTGCTAGATGAGGAAGAATAGACTACAGTTCTGGAGCCATGGACTTTAAAGTCAGGTGGAATTGAGCTGTGAGATTATTTGTATGATTTAGGTCTCTCTGGGGCCAAAGACAGAGAAAAAAAGAAATCCCCCTCTCTCTCTATAAAAATTTGAGGGCGCGCGAGCGACACAGAAGACCGGTGATTTCTGCATTTTCAACTGAGGTACTGGCTTCATCTCACTGGGGAGTGCCGGACGATCGGTGCTGGTCAGCTGCTGCAGCCCGACCAGCGAGAGCTGAAGCAGGGCGAGACATTGCCTCACCTGGGAAGCGCAAGGGGGAAGGGAATCCCTTTTCCTAGCCAGGGGAACTGAGTCACACACCTGGAAAATCGGGTAACTCCCACCCCATTACTGCTCTTTAAGCGAACAGGCACACCAGGAGATCATATCCCACACCTGGCCGGGAGGGTCCCACACCCACGGAGCCTCCCTCATTGCTAGCACAGCAGTCTGTGATCTACCGGCAAGGCAGCAG